AATTAATCTATGTTCCAGGTGTTTAAAGATCTTGGCTCTATGTTGACACTCTGGAGTCCCCAAGGTTATGAATGTCAGTAATAATTAATTACCTCACTGAATAGTGTATTAAGTGTGAGGTAATTAATTAGAAAATCCCACCTCTCTACAAAAGGGTTAATAGAAATAAATCCTTTTATCACTCTTGAAAAAGTAAGGCATGAAGAATTTGGGGAGCAGGGGGGAGGGCGTGGGGGAAGAGAGGGAGAGAATTAGCATACAAGCATTACTACACTCAAGCCTGCTAAGAGTTCAAACAGTGCCACCTTTGATTTGGAAGAATACTGAAATTAAAAGCATATTGTAGTCTATTACTGTTCTAAGAAAACACAAGACAAAATCAGAAAAGTGTCAGTCTATAAGCTAGATAATGTCCATTTACCTTTGCATATGTCTTTCCACCTTTTAACTCCTGCAAAAAGGAAAAGAATAAATGTATGCTGGTAACTATACATCTCAAAAAAAACTTTTGAAATATTGCCTTTAAGGGACCTAAGCAGTAAACTACTTTTCAGATATTAAGTGATATTCTCTGCTTACATTTTATATTCATAATAAAACCAGTGTTAAGCAAATCACCAATAAGAGTATTCATCTAACAAAGGCAGTACAATAACAGAGCTTCCTTTATGTGGAAGCATCATAGTGCTATAATTTGCCTCTACTCTTGATGCAAACAGACACTTCTTCTGGATGCAATTGTAACATGAGAAGCAATTTTATTAACTGGTGAGGAATCTCTTCCCAAACTACCTGAAAGAGCTGTTCCTGCAGAACACACACAACCCAATGCCCCAGCTTCTAGAAACCTAATGATAGGTCTGAATGCAATGGCCCTTTGCACTACTGGCTTTCCCAGGGACCAAGGCAGAAAGCCACAGGAAGGAAAGAGGGGAAGAGGAAGAGAATCACCAGGAACATAATGCTCTCCAAGTTCTTCCTTTTCCACAGGGAGGGAAGGACCCATGTATGCCTCTGATGCTGCTGAGCCCAACAGTTTAACACCCTCGTTAGTGAGGTGGGCACTTTTGCAAAAAGAATTCTAGAGCATAACTTGCTGAATACCAAGTGCATAAAAAGTCTCCAATTTATGTTCTGAAGGACAGCTGAAAAGCTCCCATAGTAGTAGGAATACCTACTACAACAACTCTTTACTACTGGTGGCAGAAAGAGTCACCTTGAGGGAATGAGAGGCAGCAATCCAATGCCACAGCAGCTATTTATTTCTGCCACTAATGGTGGACAAGCAGGAAGCATACCTCTGGAGGGGGAGTAAAATCAAGTTAGTACATGGGTCTCTAGGCTAACACCTACATGATCAAGCCAGGCTCCAAACACACCACATTAGCCATGGCCTTTGTGCACACTTGTGACATGCGAGGAGGCATGTCCCTCATTAAAGTGCGATAGGCAGCTTTGTATTTACTATGGGGAAAAAAAAAAGCGCATGCATGTGAACAGCTGGAGTAGCTAAGGTGCTATAAGTTTACATCCTAGCCTTAGCTCATGACAATTTGCCTGTGCAGCCACACCTTTAGCGAGCTACTTCCTACTCTCGATTCCCATCCATAGCCTCAGTGAGATTTGGCTGTTTTCCCCAGGAACAAAAAGTGAAGCTAACTACTGTTTCTGGATCAACAGTTAGTTGACTCTAATTTATTCAACAGATTCTGAAGACCAAGGAGAAGCTGCCTGAGCAGACTAGGGAGACATTACCCATTTACTACAGACTAAGAGGACGATGACTACTGACTAAGAGGAATACCACTAAAGAAATTGCTCAGGCAGTGAGACATTTTATTCAGATTTAAAATTCAAAAGAACTATGACTAGCCAGTTATAAAAACTGGTCACGAAATATGAAGATAGACGAAACAATTAATGAACTAGTCATGTTAGAGTTAATAATTAATGATATTACAAGCATATATTGACTAACAAGGAATACTTAACTTGGTTATAGCTACCATTTGTTTTATGACGTCTACCAGCTCTATAAAAATACAGGGGTCAGCAGCAAGTTAGGAAAGCTATCAGGGAAACAAATTAAAGTCTAACTGTGGGGGAGGAAGGAAGGGGAGGGGCCATTTTTACCTTCCGTACAGATACTCTGCAGACACAAGGATCTAGAATCCCTGTAGTAGCACTGGCACTGATTTTGCAAAGAAATACAAACTTCTTCTTCCAGTGAACACTGTTTGCCTGTACTACCTCCCTGCAAAGAGAAAAAGTGACAGAGCCATCATTAAACATCTTTTAAATACCCAGGCATTCATGACCACAAAACAGCAATACTGAATGAATTAGCAAAAAAACCAGTAACACTAATAGTTTTGCTCCCACCGGCCAGCTGAATGGGGTCAAATTGGTCCATGGGCCTGACGATCAGGCTCCATGCCTCTTCCCACCCAGTTAGGATCAGGTCCTGTACCACTAGCCACAGATCTGTGGGGAGCCCCATAAACTGGATGACGTTGCATTGGGGGCCAGACCTGGCCTGTGGGTACCCCAGCATAAACATAGTCAGACTTGTGCCACTTTCACTAGGCCTTTATCAACTAACCTTCAGGATGGTTTGACGTCACTTAGACACTCGCATAAACATCTTCCATTTTTTTTTTTTTAAGTTGTCTAAGCATATTCAGCATTTCCAGTGTTTCAACATGCACAGTGCAAGGCTCTGAGTACCAAAATGTAACAGGAAGACAATGAGACTCCTTTTCAGGAAAAAACAGTGGCATAAGATAAGCTGCCTCAACCTGACATGGATATAAAATAGACACCAAGGAGGAAGAATCCCTGCCACCTGCTAGACCAGCAACAGGAAAAAGCTTTTTTTTAAGTGACAAAAGTCTAATTTCCAGCAATGAACCTCAATCTTGATATATAACAACCCATTTTAAGAATCCTGGCATAATTAACAACCTTTATGAAAACAGCCCTCCATTTAACAAATGGAGTTCACAAATGGAATTCTAGGCAAGATTTCAACCCTCTTAGAGGCAAGAGATGAATGCATTCACCTACTGTACAAAAGGAAGCCCTCTCCCCCCACGCCCACAGGTTTTCTATTTGTATGCCTCTTTCAGCTTTGAGAGGAAAAATAAAAAAATCAAGCAATACTTAAATTGACACATTTAAAACATTTACTATGGGAAGGCAGTATGTATATAGGCAGTTAGAGTACTTAAAGTGTTCCAAGTTTACATCCTAACCTTAGCGCATGGTAACTTGGCCATAGGTGGGAATCAGGTCATAGATGGGAATCCAGAATAGGAAGTAGCCAGCTAAGGTTATGGCTGCCTATTAGCTGCATCAAAACAGGCAGGCTCAGCACGCGTTTACATACTAGGCAGGCTTAAGTGACAAGTTGAATTAATTGGGATTGTTCCAAGGCACAATGTTAATTGCACGGGTCAATTGGCCAACAGGTATATGATTTCAAGTACCAAAGCTAACTTGTTTAGTGCTAGCTCAGGCACTTCTGCATGGCACTGCTTTGTGCTGGGTAGATTCTCCATACTACTAGAGGCTGATCTGGCTCTTCTCTTGTCTTCGTGACTCAGGTTTAGTGCCTGCTGGAATTTGGCCTGGATGACATCAAAAGTCCAGTTAGATGGAAAAGAACTGAGTGGGATAGCTAGTATGGAGGCTGAAAGGAACAGGGGAAAAAAGAAACTCCAATTCCTATACTTACAGCATTGTGCAACCAACTTTCTTCTTTAAACTGCACGCTGTAAATACTACTCTCAATTTCTGAAGTAGCAGACCCCTCCCGTTTCTTCTCCTCTCCTTCCCTCCTCCCAAAAAAGAAATTTCTAAGGGTAGAGGGAAAAGATATTACTCCTAAAATTTCCAACTATGGGGAACCCTGGAAGGCAAATAAATAACTTGCAGAAAAACTAGGCAGTTACACAGCTTTCCATTTCTACAGCTAGATTAGCGTAGCAGGAGGCTTGGTGCACTAATAAAGATCCCCAGGGTAGGGGATCCACCATCACTCTCTGGGCACGGCCCTCCAGCCAGTTAGTGACCCATTTGACTGTGTAGGTGTAGACACCACAGTCCCCCGTTTTTTAATGAGAATGGGGTGAGAGACAGTGTCAAATTTCTTCCTAAAGTCCAGAAAGACCACATCCACTGCTACCCCTGCATCTAAGGATTTTGTGACCTGGTCATAGTAGGCCACCAGGTTGGTCTGACAGGACCTGCCTCTAATGAACCCATGTTGGTTGCCCCTAAGCATAACCTCCCCCACTGGCCCCTCATGGACACGTGCCAGGATAATCCCCTCAAAAAGCATCCCCAGGATCAAGGTAAGACTAACTGGCCTATAGTTTCCTGGGTCCTCCTTCCTCCCCTTTTTGAAGATGGGAACCACATTGACCCTCTTCCAATCCTCTGGCACCACACCAGAGCACCATGAGCGCTCGTATAGCTGTGCCAGGGGTCCTGCAATTTTGGTTACTTCATTTTCAGTATCTGTAAAAGCCACAATCCTTGCTCTGATTTTGAAGTACTTGTTATGTCAGTACTGCACATGTTGTAGGCATAGTTAGAAATGAAATACAATTATCCAGGTTTTAGAACATACCTGGCATCAAAGCATCATAAATGTTTTCCACCACTGGTGTATTGTTTGTTTAAAGATTATCAAGTGTTGGGAGGGAGGGGGAAATACAGAAAAGTATGTGATAGCCTTCAAGAAATATTGTCCCTTGATCCTGCACAGGTTATTTTAAATAGTCTCTAATCTAAACAAACTGTTGATGCTCTCACTTCACTGTATCGGAGCTCAGAAATAATTAAAAATTACCTGACCAACACTATGTAGTTGATTTTGCTGTTTTTATTCAGAAAGTTGAAATGCATTATTATTTTTTGTTTATAATTTCTGCGGTTCTCTGGTTGTGGCCTGCACTATAGGAAGACTTTTCAGGTAGCTCCTTATTCTGTTCCTCTTTTTTTGCTTTAAAAAAAAAAAAAAAAAGCTGCTTAG